TACCACATGATACAATAGTTGCATTGATTACCTTGACACATCCATGAGATTACATGTCACAACGTTTTCTGATAAATATAACTCCCACCCTAAAGCCAAGATAAACTCATTCTTTATTTTTTTCCTCCCTAAAGCCCCAGTATATAGTTGTATGTCCTAGTTGTAAGTCATTCTTTAAACTCATTCTTTTGATAGATGAAATAACACAAGTTTTCAATGAAATCTACATAGACTCCACTGGGCTGTTACTGGCACAAACCATATTAACTGAAAATCTTAAAATATAGCATATAGGCATATTCCTAATTTTGAGGTTCATAAACATTCCTACTTCAACATAATAAATGAGAACTGATTTAAAATACAAGTGAAATTAAATTTGGTAAAGCCTTTATTCAACTAGAGTCCTGAAGAGATGATTCTAGAGCTCTATTTCCTAATAGAATACAATAAATTCACACAAATGTCACTACAGATATAACGAATGTTTTTTCATGCCAGTGTCACTCACCCTTGCCTGCCTGCACCCCCTCCCCCAGGCTTTTCAAAATGTATTTCATACACAGAGTCACTGTTCTGGTTGTTTATTTAATTAACATGACAGCCCAGCACACACAGCATTTCTTTCAGAACTACAGTTTTAACTTTTTACACTTTAGACTCAATACAGAAAGAGTAAAATTACTGTTTGACTCTTTCCAACCTCTGTAAATTTATATAGATTCACTGACTATTTCTGTCAGTTAAAACAGTTTTTCAGTATGCTTTAAATATCTGTATTCACGAAATAAAATCACAATTTTGTCCCCACACACAAAAAAATTCTTTTCCCTCACCTTTCCCAAGGGATAAGAAAACCTTGTTTTTCCTTTTTAGTGTTTTCAGAAGTTGACATTTATTAATTTTAATTCTGTCAGCAAGTCATAAATAATCAATATTGCTCTTTGTATCATCATAAGCAGAGTTACACTAGTGAAATGTGATAGGAGCTACAATTTTATTAAAAACTCATGATTGTTTCTGAAATTTATTCAACTGAGAAATATGTTATGTTATACTGAAATGCATTTAGGAAGTTAAATGACAATACATTCTATATTTTCATAAGAAATACTTCTGTATTTTATAACCGTACTGTAAACGCAAGTAAATCATACTTTTTACCAAAGACATAACAAGGCCTACCATATGCCTACCATCGAAAACCATCGCTAGTTCCTCTATTTTTGTTTTGTTGTTTTTGTTGTTTGCTTTTTTGCTTGAAAATATCTTTCTTACATCAGGGATGAACAATTTGATTCAATTTTTGATAACCAAGACTAGACTCCATTACATTCCTACAAAAACCTATTTTTGCTAATGATGTTTAATTAAGAGCTTTAGGGAAATATTTGTGGGAAACAATTTTGATTTTTAATTACACAATATAAAGTATATAGCTGTACATTTCTGACTGATATTGTATCCATCACAAAGAATTTTGTCATTATGTGGTACAAATGCATTAATGGAGAGAGGCATATGCCTTGTGTTTATTTCATGTGAAATCATAGGCAAAGATATTAGATTCTTCTTAACATGTAAAATAAAATGGCTTTGGTTTGGAATCTTTCAAAAATGAGTGCATAAGGTGGTCACAGTCATTAGAGAGGAATGACTAGCCAATTGTGTTCTTTGATGTACAAAGAGAAGAGAGAGAGGCATGCTTCAAATATAATTTCCAAATGGTAAAAATTGCATAATTAAAATTTTATGTTGAAAAATAACATATTTATTAATCATATATAATATCTAATAATTCAAGAAATTCTAGGTACCTCTGTATATTCCAGTGTTTGAAAGGTACAGTGGTAACTCGAGAGAGACATACCTGCTCTCAGATGTGAACATCCACTTAGAAAAGATACATACACCTTAAAGGAAACAATTGCCTTCTTAACACTGCCAACCAAAAAAGTAGTTTGACACACTGGTCTGCAAAATCAGCCTCACTCTTGAGGATACTGGGCTGATAGGACTGAACTAAAAGCCACTGAAATGTTACCAACTTTGTCTGTTCTTTACTGACAGTAAAGGTACCTTCACTTGCATTCACAGACACACCTAGTGTCAGATTAATTCTGTGAACGAAGCCTAGACCTATGTCTCCTTCCTTTGCTTGAAGTCATCTTTATCATCAGCACTGCAAAACTCAATTCCATACACAATATCCAATCTATAGACTGAATTATGGTTCAGGAAGGGAGGGAGGGAGGGAGGAAAATATATCCGTCAGTTGGTTTGTCTTATGAGAATTTTATCATCTATCCTCCTTGACCTTTTAGAATTGAGTCATTGAAGAGAGACAGTTCATAAGCAAGTGGCCACTATCATTCACATGGAGAAGAAAAGGCTGAAATTCTGTCACCTGTAAACCTCACAATGAGCAAGGTCCAAATAAATTCTCAAGAGGCTTCTGCCAGACTCTCTGTGTCTATGTCCATACACCTCTATCTAAAATTCACTTGTTGCCTGAGTATTGTCTTCAGTCGAGAGGACATACTCTTTCAGAAAAGAACACCTAATCAGGTAGCATTCAGGGGAGCGTCATATATGTGTTTTATAATTATTTTGATTCTTGACTTCATAAATTATGCAGATGACAGTGGTACACTTTGCTCCCTTAATCAGGAGTTTATTTCCTTATGATAAAACAGATAAGCCATATAGTATATAGCTCCTGAACTTTTCACACAGTTAGACTAACGTATGAGATTTTGCCCTATCTTACAAGACACTGTTCCATGTGAGTTCCCACCCCCCCCAATCATGTTCAGCAACAACTTTTAATGGGTCATATACAAAAACTAGTCTTAAGTAACATGTACACAGTCACCTATGTCCTCATTAAAACTTCAAGGATCTAAATTTCTGCTAAATGTAACCTTGTTTTTCCACCAACCATAAGAGATAAAGTCTCCCACATTAAAATATTCTTCATAAAACTGCCTTTAAAAAACTAGCAACCAAAGAAAATGACCAAAATAGATTACAAATATGCATATTCAACAGCATTAATCAGCAAAACATTTAAAAAATGAAATGCTCAGTTATTTTCTTATAAGTTTGCAGATTATTCAAATCTCCAGTTATCAATTCAAACCAGAGAAAACCAATAAAAATCTGCAGTTAATTAACACTGCTGCTTAATTCACCCACTCTTAACTCCTTAACTTCTAAACGTTATCATGGAATTTCAGAAGTTTAATTTCAGAGGCTAAATAATATTAATTTGGAATCAAGTTATTTATGATTAAATCACAGATTTGCCTTAGGAATTATGGTTCAATTTTGCAATAATCATATCACACTTCCCTCTAAGTTAAGGAAAAGTGTGTTCTAAACATATTTAAATTGGTAGTGTTTTCAATTTAAAAGATATTCTCTCCTGTACCTGTGAAAAGAAATTAAAATTTGTTTCCTCCCAATCGGTTTGCCCTTACACAGAAAGCTTACTTTATTCTGTTGATTACCAAATTTCTACCAAAACTAAGTATCAGTCAGTGGCCTGTTTTTAACTTCACTCTCAGAGTAAGCTTAAACCCAAGAAATATTTGCTTTATCTAAACAAAAAGCTAAATAAGTACATTTGTTTTAAAATAAACACAGAGGCTATGATGCTGTCGTCCATTCTGCTAAATAATGTCAAACAACCACATTCTGTGTAATCAACTCCATTTCAGAAACAAACTAGCCATATGGTGTCTGCTATTTCTTAGAAATACCTAAATGATTACCCACAGAACAACCTAAAAAGAAAAAGCTTACTATATATTAGGATATTCTCTCACTCTCTCAAGTTGTCCTAAGAGTATCATAGGTAGGCATAAATTTAAATGGGAAAAGTGTAAATTTCCACTTGCTGCACATAACCAGAATTCCACCACCCCCCTCCCCAAGTGTCAAATCTGCTTGGAGAGAGGTGAACACTGAAACATGCCTTTTCAGATACAATTTGTACTTAAAGTTAGGATTTGTTCTGTTATGCCCATTATAGCAACTATATTCCATGGTCTTAAAATGCTTAATGATAATAAGGAGATTCATTCTCAAAATTCACTCAACTTTATTTAGGAAACTCCACTCATAATTCTAGATTCCTCCTCCTCCTTCCTTCTGAAATATTTATATCACCAGGAATCTTAGAAATATTTTCCTTAATTAATATTTCCTGTATAACCTGTATATGTCCATTTGAATTTCTAAATATCCACTTAAGCATGTAGATACTCAAGAGAAATATTTTTTTTAGTTGACACTAACAGCGCAGTTCACGACTTGGACACAGTCTGAAGTTCAGACATATTGTTCCTCAAACTGAAGTTTATGATTATGATACAAAACACATTCGCATGTAATAACATATGTTCCCAAATTACAATTTAAAAACAAACTGGCCACCACCAGATGCAGTCTCAAGTAAAACTTTCTGCAAAACCAGAAAGTGTGTATAAATACCTCACCTTCAAGCATTTCTTGCTTTACTCTAGAATCTTTCTACTAACTTCCATAAACGTTTACCTGTCACTTTAGAAGAAAGAAATTTTATTTTTAAAAAAAACAAAGAAATTTAGTAAAATCCACAAGTTTAAAAATCCCCCACTGCTAAAAAACTAAACTTAATTTGAAAATTTCTGCTAAAGGAGGAAAGTATGAGGATACTGAAAAGTGTAGAGCAGCCATACGCCAGGTGTAGCAGATCTAAAAAATTGGCCCAGCTGTGGAAGACCCTACACATGCCATCTAGTTTGTTATTTATTCCTATGCTTGTTGTTCAAATTATAAACTACTGTGTGAGAAGGGGAGAAAAACTCGCTAGTTTTCTCCTAAGTCTGAAGTTACACCACTTTTCTAGGCTATCTTTCCTTTAGTTCCCAGCGCTCGGATTCCCTCCACTTTGCGCCGGATCCCAAGTGTTGCAAGTTTTCCCAAGAGGCGAGAGAGGAGCCGCCAGTGCTTACCTGTTCCCTCGGTATGCAGGGCAGGGAGGTCCTCCGATGGGACTTGCTGCTGCAGCCCGACATCTCGGCGGACACCACAGAGCTGGACCGCCTCCGCCTCTTAAACACCGGGATATCTTCCTTGGTCCCAGCAATCAGCTGGGACCCAAAATGCTCCCTCGGAGCCGCCCCCGCGGACTGCGGCAAGATTTGCTCCACGTACCTGGCCAGGAGGATCCCCAGCACGCCGGCCAAGTACGCCAGGTAAGGTCTCCAGGCGACCTTGAACCTCTCTAAGGAAATGAGGGACACGGTCCTGACCGCGCTAGTCAAGGCGATCATGAGGACGCCCAACCTCAGCCTCAGCACCAGCCATGTCGCGGCGGCCAAGCAGCTGAGCACCACCCCCGCGGCGGGGAGCGAGAGTAAGTGCTCGTCCCCGACGCCCAGCCCAATCTGGACGAGCGCTTCCCCCCCGCAGCAGGCGGCCAGCAGCGCGACGGCCAGAGGCAGGCGCACCCCGGCGCGCAGGAGGTACAAGCCCATCCAGAAGAAGGCACACAGGAGACTGAAGAGCAGCGCCGAGGGCTGCAGCCAGGGGCTGAGCGGCGCGCCGCCCCCGGGAGCACCTCCCCGAGGCCCCGGGAAGACGCCCCCTTCTGCTCCCGGGGCTGCTTCCTCCTCCTCCGCCGCCGCCGCCTCCTTACTCTGCTCCAGGTCACAGCCGATCTCCCCGCGCACCAGCCTCACCAGCAGCGCCAGCAGAAAGGACAGGGAGCCCGCGCACAGCGCCGAGGAAAGTTTCCGGGAGCGCCGGAGCGGCCGCAGCACCAGGTCTCCCCAGCAGCGGTGGCAGCCCGAGTCCCGCGGCGATGCGGGGCCCGCGCGACGGTGGCAGTCCGGACCCGCCGGGGGGGCCTGACTCACCCCACCGTGGCCGGGCTTGTGCCTGACTCGGGCGGCCTCGCCGGGCACTGCCATGGTGTGCCCTGTTCACGGAATGCCCAAGGTCCCCCCAACGCCCCCACCCCGACACACACACATACACACTCGCTCGCTCTCTCTTCCCAGTCCCACCCTCGGAATCCCTCCTTCTTCTCCCCAGGCCTACGGGCCACTGAAAGTTTCAGCTTTCGAATAACTCCTGGAGAATACTAGATGCTCCAAAGAGACGCCTTCAAGTTGAAAGCGAGCACAGGCAGCAACGAGCAGACTTCCTCCTTTTCTCTCTTTGAAAAGCTTTTAAAAATCCTCAGCTCCACCCCTACCCCCGACTTAATATCCTCCGGGGTCTCTTCCCACTTCAGGATTTTAAAGATTGCCCAATGCGTCCGGCGCACGGGGGCCGCAGACGCTGGAGGAGCCGGGGGCGCAGGGCGAGCTCGGGGCCATCCCGGGCGCAGCTCGGCGCTGCGCTGCTGCGCGCCGGGCCCGCGGCAGATGGAGGTCCCCCTTCTCTTCCTTCCTGCAGCTCTTTCTCTATCACTCTTTCTTTCTCCTCGGCCGATCCTCCCCAGCACGGCCCCAGGAAGCGAACCGCCATTCCCTGGGGCAGAAAGCAAAGCCTCCCCTGCGTCTGTCGGTCCAGTTCATGGCAAAGGGTGGAAAAAATGGAAAAGGGGCTGAGAAATAACCGAGAAGTTGCTAAGTCCCGTCGGAGAAAGACACAGTCCGAGAGACGAGCGGCTGCCGCAAGAGAAGGAAGGGAGGGAGAGCGAGCGAGCTAGAGAGGAAGGGAGGGTGAGAGGAGAGGGAGGGTGAGAAGGGAGAATGAGATTTGCTCGTTGTTTTTTTGTGTGTGTGGGGGGGGGGGGGTTCCTTCTTTTTGGTGCGAGGTTGGTGGTGATTTGCAGTTTTGCAGAAGGGAAGCGAGTGGAGACAACTGGTTAAAACTATATTAAAAAGTAGGCAACTGGAGTGATCGGCAATTCCGCTTTCTTTCTTTAAGGCTACTCCCTAGGAAAGCTTTCCCAGCCGAGCTCCCGCCCCCTCCCCCGGAGGAGGCGCTGCTCGCAGCTCCACTGCTCCTTTCCGCAGAGCGGGCCCGCACCACCAGTTTGCTGGAGAAAGGGTTGCTGTGGCCGGTCCACCGCCCACCTCGCCGCAGCCAGGGGGTGCAGGGATCTGTGGCTGGCCCTGAGGCTGAGCTTCCTAGGACGTTGGAAAAAAAGAATCGTGCTTGACTACTTGGCAGGCGGTAGGAGCCAAGATCCTTCCTACTGTCATTAAAAATGACAGCCACATCTACTGTCTGAGTGATTCAAAGATGCTCATAGGTTCTCAAGTCAGTTACAACAGCAAACCAATTTCAGGTGGCATTGTAATGCTTTGGCTGCTCCTGCTGGAAGGTCTGTTTTCAACAGAGAACCCAAGCCTTTCTTGTTGGTCCAAAGGATGGAAAATCTCAAGTTACCTAGACCCTAAATAGCATCATTATTAAAGAGATGGGGGGGGCGGGGGGCATTCATTTTTTTGTGTTATTTTTTAAAAAATTATTTTTTTAAAAATCCAGTGTATGAAAGTATTAGTCAACAGTTGTTGATGGTGGATGGTAATTTATACTGAGATTAAGTGACTCTAGCCACAAGAAGGTTTACAAAGTTAGGAAACCCAAATAATCAATCAGAAAGTAATATAAAGAAATCTCAAGGGGGAGGTGAGGACAGGTAGGTAAACACTAGGAAAGATCTTAGAAGACTGTCTATGGTTGTGAAATACTGTGTCTACCATGAAGAAAGCTTATGAAAAAAAATCAGGACCCTTGCTAATGTTTACAGGGGGCCCTGTTCCTGTCCTGTAGTAATGTAGTATGTGAGAAACTAAAGGAAAATTTTAAAGCTAACTTTTTTGGCAGATTATGAGTAATAATATCTGTTCAATGGACTTTTAAAAATCCATCAATGTTGGGAGCTAGTTTCTCTACACTTAGAACAAGAATATGATAGTCCACTCTTGTTCATTTTTAATATGGCTAACAGATGTCATTTGCTTTCACTAATAATAGTATTAATAATCATCCAATTTTGTCTTTATTATCTTGACATTCCAGGTTAAAGTGTGTTTATAGCCTGGAGTATTTGGATAATTGGTTCAATATGCCACTGCATTTTGTGTGCAGAGATGAAGCAACATAAAGAAAAGCCAAAGGAGATAGATACTTGAGATAAAATTAATTCATGGGGGTAGAGGAGAAGACAGCTTAAATCTTAAACTTATCTTCCTAGGAAACAGCCTGCTCTAGTTAGAGGCAAGTATTAATATTAATATTATGACATAAATGTATGAGGAGCTTTGATGATACAGCTTCTCTCCATCAGATGTCCAGAACTGCGCTACCACATGGAGAACAAGTTGGGCAGCTAGTCAATGGCAGTGGACACCATCTGTCTAATAATTAAGGAAACGGGAGCAGCAATGTCTTTGCCAAAGACAAATGAGCCCCTGTAGCATGCACATAGACTTTTTCCAGTTTCCTCTTTAGACATATGATTCATATGCCAGAGCCTACCTGGGACACTTCAGAGTGAAAACTGTTGATTGGAAAATCATGCTAATATCCACCGGCAGGCATCAAAAATAGCATATTAAAATTAAAAACTAAAAATCTGGACATATATATCAAGGTTAGAAAGGCAAAATGAGGGAGATTTTAGAATATTTTGATTTTCTCTGTCCCCTACCCTTACACTTATCTCTGCTCTTTAGAAAAAATAATAAATCATCATAAAAACTGAATTTATGAGATGGAATGTAGACATTAAAAAAATTGTAACAGAAAAAATAAAAATGGTATTCGTTAATGGGAGCAAAACAAAAATACTAGGTCTGTATGTTATACAATGACATCCTTGAAGTGTTCAATATATTACCAAGGCAATATCCTGGCACCTGGTTTTCTCCCCATTCTTAACAAAAATCACAATCAGAAAGTGATTTGTTCCACCAAAAGGAAAGAAGGTAGATTCTACTGCACCATCGCCTCATTACCATCCAGAACCTGGAGGCAGATAAACAAAACCAGCAACAAAATACTCTTATTACAGAGACATAGAAAGCTGCATCGCTATACTAACTGGAAGAAGTGGCTGACATTGTGTGGAGCATATTACATGAAATAAGACCCAATCCATAAAGTAGACATTGAGCAATCACATAGAAATAAAAACTGATGAGTCCTAATTCAAGAAAGTGACAACACAGCCAAAAGATAAAGAAAATGTGGTACACAAAGTAAAATAGAATATGGAAAATGGAAAGAAAAATTCAAATTTGACTTGAGAAATCTCTCCCCTTAGCCAAATCTAGCAAATGTGTTTTCATTAATACTTTGTAAAGAGGATCTAGAAATTAACCTTATTGCATATCATTTGCACTTTACCAAATATAGTTATGCTTAAGGGAATTCTGTTAAATTCAAAAACTTTATGCTTTGTAGTATGGGTTCACTCATTCTCCACTAACTCCACTAACTCTATGCATGTATATCCAATGGTATATAAAATAGAATGTAGCTGAAACAAAATTCTTAACTCCCAATTCCCTCTCTGCCCTTTCACCACCAACTCCAAACCCCCAGACACCCACCCATCTCCTCAGCAATCCCCCACCCCAGGAAAAAACATAACCACCTACCTAGTTGCTCAGGCCCCAAAAGAGGGCATTGCCCTCAATTCCTTCCTCTGTTCACCTTGCTTTACTTACAGTCTGTTAGCAAGTCCACTTGATTCTATCTCTAAAGTACATCCTGAATCCATCCGCTTTTCATTATCCCTCTTATAATAACCAACCAACGATCCATCATCATCCCTGCCCAGGACAATTGCAATAACTTTCTAACTGCTCTTGCTGTCCTACCATTCATTTTCTACACAACAGCCAGAGCCATAGTTTTAAAGTGTAAGTCAAATGATGTCACTCCTTGCTTAAAACCATCCAAAGGCTTCGCCTTGCACTTGTAGAACCCAAAGTCCTCACAGCAAGGACCTTCATGACCTCTCCAAGCCACTCTCTGTGACCTCTCCTCCTATTCCAATTCTCTTCTCTGGTGCAACACTGTCTATTAGGACATTCTTTGATGATGAAATGATGTGGCTGTTGGGCGCTTGAAACATAGCTAGTGCCACTAGGGAACTTTTTGTATTTTATTTTATTTCAGTTAATTTAAATTAATTTAAATGTAAATGGCCACAGGTGCCCCGTGGGGAGTGCATCTCTCGCCCCTCAAGCCATCTTTCTGTTCTTTACCATATCAAATAGGAAACCCTGTTCAGGACCTTGGTATCTACAGATCTTCGCGTAGCTAGCTTTTCCTGCTCCTTCAGTTCTGACCTCAAATATTACCTTTTTAGAAAGGCTTTTTCCCAACAACCTTATCAAAAAGTCTCGAGACTCCACATGAGCACACACATTTTGTTATTAACTATCACACTACCCTGTCTCGTTATATTTGTAGCACTTATCGCTACAGAAAATGGTCTTGTTCATTTATTTGTTTTCTTGTTTATCATGTGTTTCCCTTCATTAAGGGGTAAATGCCATGTGGACAAAGACCATGAACATCTTTGTCTTATTTGCTGTGTATTGCAAATGACCAGAAGAGTGCCTGGCATGTGGTGGAAGCTCAATAAATACTCGATGAATCAATGAATGAATAAAGTCAATGAATACAGGGTGAAAGAATAAATTTTAAAAAATCTTTATTATAAAGTCCTAAATTAAAGACAATCTCCATATATTTTTATATATAATCACTTAACTGGACAGCTCCCTCAAAATCTTGCATCGAAGAGTCTGTTGCCCAGAGTGGACCAATATGCAAAATAGTGCAAGCAGCACTTTTTACAGAATATTGCTTTTAAAAAAAATTGCTATATAAATTACTCATTTGTAAGAGAAATAGGTAATAGTTGAAGTTTTGAAAACTTTGTATTGATTTTCAGATGAAATGTCAATAATTCATAGCAGTTTTCTGGTAGGCCCAGGGAAGAAGCAGTTTAAACATATGCATTTGGGTAGCAAG